AGAAATAATGTAGCTAAGAGACAGATGTTCTGTGTATACAAGTGTTAATCAGGTATGGAAAGTCAAAGCAGTGTGAAAGGAAATATGTACATGATGTAATGTAATTAAGGTTATCCTGATTGATGTATGTAATTATGGTTATGCTGAATATGTAGTGTAGTATGTAGTAATGGTGATGTACCATGATGAATGAGTGATTCTACATAGAGACTGTAACTATATAATGTGTAAGGTATATGTACTGTATGTATAAAGTAATGTACTGTTCTGTAACTATGAATATACTGAAGAGCTGATAACTAGAGAACTATAAGAGCTACTGAAAAGTTGTAAGAGGTGACTAGGGGTGAAATAATGTGTAGAATCTGAATATGAAATAATAATGGGAAGAATATTTGTAGAATGATGTGAAAAATGAGGATACATGGAAAGGTATGGACATACCACAGCGTGCACGCCCAATATGTGGTCCTAAACACATATTTATATGTGTTTAGGACCTGGGCTGTCCCATAGGACCCAGGCATGGGTCCTATGGGACGGCCCCAGCATTGATGTTTTTTTTCTTCTATTTTTTTAACCCCTCCCGGCAAGCCAGTGTACAGTCCAGTGGAAGGCATTCCTTCCGCTGGACAAGGTACCTTGTCCATCGGAAGGAAACCCTTCCGCTGGCTGGACGATCCAATGGGAGAGGTACATTACCTTGTCCAAGCGGAAGGCATTCCTTCCAATGGACAAGGTACCTTCTGCTTGGACGAGGTAATGTACCTTGTCCAGTGGAAGGGTTTCCTTCTGATGGACAAGGTACATGTACCTTGTCCAGCGGAAGGGTTTCCTTCTGATGGACAAGGTACGTGTACCTTGTCCCGGGGAAGGGTTTCCTTCCAATGGATGAGGTACATGTACTTCGTCCAGCGGAAGGGTTTCCTTCTGATGGATGAGGTACATGTACCTTGTCCAGCGGAAGGGTTTCCTTCCGATGGACGAGGTACATGTACCTCGTCCAGCAGAAGGGTTTCCTTCCAATGGATGAGGTACGTGTACCTTGTCCAGCGGAAGGAACACCTTCCACTGGACTGTACACCAGCTTGCCGGGAGGGGTTCCTCCTGGAGGTGTGACCTCGGCCTCTTGTTCTGAGGGATTCCCTAATTAAGCTAATTGAAATCACAAAAATTCTGATGAAACATCATCTCAATTCTACGGATATTGCCAATTTCTCCAAACTCATCAAGGAATACCAGAATACCCTACGAATCGGATGGCCTACACAAGAAAGAAAGGCCAACCTCCACTTAACCCAGCACTATCGCCAAATCATCAAGGGACTTGGCCCACCAATGGCCACTTCTGCGTGGGCACAGGAGCGAATTAATTGAATACTGGGAAAGATTCCAAACAACCACCATTTGGGTATGTAGGATATCTCAATTTGCATAAATGGGGACTAGCATTGACTTTGTGGATTCTTTTTTTTGTTTGGAGGGGAGAGCCACCACACATTATTAAACACATGGAACCAAATAGCACCATACTATGGCCTGGAGAATCAGAATAATTTTGGCTCCCAGGCAAATGTGGGAGAAGAAGGGCCAACAAATTATGTCAAGAGCACGATGACTCAGAAGCAACAAAGGAAGAACTTGGATTCAAAGCTCTATAGTCTATGGAAAGCTCAGTGGGAGGAACTCGGGGTTAAAGGTTGCAAAGATGGATCATTAGGGAAGGAGGTGGTCAAGGTAAAGAGTGTGGAAATGTTTAATTGTAAATATGTCCCATCAGAGGATGTGAACTGTAGATCACCTGCCAATTTAAATGTGGAGGTATTTTACCGTGGAGATAGAATTTTTGGAAGGATCAACTTGCTTTTTGTGGGAAAATCTGCAGATCATGTTTGGTTTGTTGTTTGTCCATTTACCAGATTAAACCGTTGGGATCAACCAAAAAATCCATACAAAGACTTGATGCAGCTCAACACCAGATTACTCTACTCAAAAAAATTTGAACCAGCAATTACATCAATCCAGGGTGGTAGGGCATATTGCCATTTTGGAAAATGAGGAAGGAACTTTTGGGATAAACAGGGGAACCATCTCAGCAGTGAGCCTTGGCAGTGTGGTATGTGTTTTTTTTCCCTTGCATGAACTATAAACCCATGGCATAATTTATCTGAAAGAAATGCTTTCTTTTTGGAATGCAGGCATGGTGCCAAAATGTTGATATGGAAGAATAGATGAGTAATTAGAGTTCTGGGAACTGTTATTTATATCCAAACAAATTGTTATGTGCTCTCCAATCAAATTTTTATCTAAACATGTTTCCACACAAAGGGGATGAAGTGGGGAATGCAGCTGCATCTTGTTTGGATGTATAAACAAATTTATACTGAGTGTTTTCTTTGGTCTGAATCAAGTCATTCATTTGGCATGAATAAATGAATTGAAATAATGAGAGAAGGGGGAAAAATGGTTTTAGCCATTTTATGACAACAAGAAAGCACATCTTGTTGGTTTGAAATGTCTCCAGGTACCTTACTTCAACATCCCAAAAAATAATTACTCATCCCTCATCTATACTCACCCCTATCCCCAAGGTCATTTTGACCCTTCTACCAAGACAAATTTGGTCAGTAACACTGGTATCAAGGAGTAATATGTGGATCCTTGCACTTATGCAGCTCTTTTTGTTGTGCTCATTTTTTTGCAGGTTTCTTTCTCCAAAGAGTTTCCTCAATGAATGACGATGGGATGGAGATGGATGATGAGACTGGCGGTGCAGGGACAAAAAGTGGAGCAGTTGATGACAAAGAATTTTCCCGCATCCTTGATGGTGAAAGTGAGGAGAATGATGATGAAGGTAAGATTTAATTTCTATTTCAGGATTTGTTGTGGATTTCCTTTCCAATGGGTTGTGGAATAGGTAAACTGATGATTGCCAAGGCAATTTTCACTCCTAGATTCTGATAGTGGACTGGAAGATCCGTAAAAGGCTCTGAAGCTACAGCAGGATTGTCAGAAAGGAAGTGTGCTCAACAGAACTCACAAGGGACTATACAAAAGGTCCGCCGGGCTGTTGTTGGAAAAAAGCTTCCCAGTCAGTCAGGTGGATTATCACGCTCAATTCAAAACTTTGTCAGGTTCATGATGGGCATGCCTGCAACTTTCAGTGAATACCCAGCCACCCCCGATGTGGTAAGCCAATCCTGAATTTCAGAGCACAAAAAGACTACAAATCACACAGGAATCACAGACTCAAGACCCATCAGGAATTCTCCAGGCCCTCAAACAAATCCAACACACCAGTCATCCACACAATTGCCCCCCTCATGGATAAAGACATCTTCCACACCTCTGAAACTCCTCAAATGAAACCCATGGCCAAATTCCTAGTTCACTCTTTATAAGAGTTAGCTCACACACCAATTACACACTAGTACCCCTTCCCAATATAACCTCAAACCCCTCTAAAATATATTCCTTATCTCTTATCTCCTTCCACCTTATGCCAAGAATTACCACTCAACAGCCATGTTTCATACTAGCCCTTTCTTCCCATTGCCTGTTCAATCCCCAGCTGGGTGAAATAATTACCCCCACCTCTTCCCCTTGATAAGATTACCCAATCCTCTCTCTGTTTCAGAATGAATTCATTACCTTATCTTAGCTTGGCTCTTGCTTTGGTTTCAGTCTAGTCTTATCTTATCTTAGTGCCACACTAAATTAGGCCACATTGTTCATAGTTCAATTTTCTTCCTTGTTCATTCTTTGTTCCATTTTTTTCCATCCATCTTCCAACCACAAATTGGCCACTCCCCAGAATCTTGTATATAAGGAGCTTTGTTTTCCTCTTCCTTTGTTCCAGCATCAGATCCTGCCCCAGCAATCCAGATAACTGATCACCCATTATTAGCCAGGTATTTGCCCATCAACATTTGGGATACCTTGATTTGTGAACAAGTATATTTAGACTAGTAAACATAAGACATATTAGACATACCATTCTCAAGAAATCTCCAAAGCCACACCTTTCCTTAAGAGTCCATACTCTTATATTTTCTTGTTATCAGAGAGGCAGCCCAATAAAGCACTCATCCCTCTCAAGCTCTATTCATCCCAAGAGTAGTTCCACACCGATTGTGCCCAGTGGGATCTTTGGCACCACTGGGCTGAGACTTGTTACAGCAAGATGGTGAAGCACTTGGCGGAATACACCGAGAAGCATAAGGAAGTCAGCAAATCAGTCTTTAAAGAAATGCACAATTAAGGATGAAGTTATTTGCATCCAGAAGAATTTATCACCTCCCGCCTTTCAAGGGGCGCCTGATGTGTTGAACAGCAATCTCAATATTCCCATCAATGTGAAGATGGCATGTGAGCAAGAGGTTCGAATTGCTGGTTTTGGATATATAAATTTTGAATGGGAAGCACAATCCTTAACCGCTTCCCCCTGGAATGCAACTCTTGCAACGGTGGGCCAGCTACGCTAACCGTAGCGTTAGCGTAGCATAGTGTAGCAATTTTTTGCTACAATTTAGCGTAGTGTTAGCACTTTTTTCATTTTTTGCGCTAACACTACGCGCATGGGGCGAAAACTTGCGCTAACTTTTAGCATAGCGTTAGCGCGATTCCCCCCATCTGAGCCAACACTACACGCACAGGCCGCCAAAATATGCTGTGTTACAGCAATTTTTAGCGGTTTTGAGGTGTTTTTTGCCGCTAAAAACGCTGTAGCGTAGCGGCGCGCTAACACTACACCAAAAAATGGCTAGTGCTAGCGCCACTACAAATTACCGTAGCGGCGCGCTAACACTACGTGAAAAAAAATGGTGCCACTACGCTAACGCTACATGGGCCTGTAGCGTAGCGGCCCACCGCTGAATCATGGATCAATCTTGATCAAAGACTACTTCAATTGGGCAAAATCACAACCGGGGACGCTTTGGGACGATACATCTTGTATGGAACTCATTTTGGATTGGTGGTTCAAAAGGCAAGGTAGATTGATGAGTCAAGCCGGCCAACAGGAGGGCAAATCCACTGAGGAGCTAAAAGCTGAAAAGGCTAGAAAAGCGTCAATAAGCCGGATCAAAAGTAAAGTAAGATAAGTTTCCTGAAATCATCCAAAACTTGCAGTCAAGTACTTATAATATTGCATTTTTGCAAGATTGCAGAAAAGAGACGTGCCTCTGCCATCAAGAAGATGGGGAACCAACCCTTGTCAGCGCTTGTGTTCAATAAGGAGACCATGTCTGATTGGGAGGACCAGACACCACCAGCAAAACCCAAGCGAAGTGACCTAGTTTGGAGGAGTGAAGCTTTCAAAAGGTGCTCTCACAAGCTTGACAATGAAAAAAACCACAAATGAATCCAAATCAACCCGCAAGCTCCTTCAACAAGACAGTGTTGAATTCAAACCAGATGTTGAACCTGAATATGATCAAATTCCTCGAAAGCTTCCCAAGGACGCTTACAATGCCAATTTCCTTTCAAACATCTCCCTGGTTGAACGAGAACACCTTGACCCCCAGCCCGGAATTGACTTGGAGGGGAAATACCGAATATTGGAAGAGATGACTAGACGTGGAGGACCTGGAGCGGCTCGGAGCGCTTGAGGAAGTATAGGAGACCTTGGGATGTCATACTTTCAAGGCCCAAGTACAGGCAGTTGAGTATGTTGTTTTCACCATACTCAAGAACTGATGCATCAGAGTTCTTAGTGAAAAACTGTTTTTATGTAGATCCTCAAAAATTTACACCAAAACCTTTGCACCTGAGTGCTTGGAATGAACTTAAAATTAACAAAAAGCCTGGAATCCCATGAAACTTTAGCTTGGATATATATTCTGTACTTTTATCTCTATTCATGTTTCTCAGATTCACTACAAGAACATGTGTGCATCAAATCTTTTCTCCCTGGAAGGATTTCTATGTATTGCTGATCAGGATATCTTAACAATCACTTAAATCTGAAGGATAGGTTTAAAAATAAGCTAGTGTTCTCAAGTCAATATTTTTAAGAGACCCTGTTTCTTAACAAGTTATAGTACACAAAACATTGACCAATGGGTCTGATATAAAAAGTTGCCAGGCTCCAATAGACTTGCATTTTTCTGGTTCATTCTTGCTAGGTCAAACATGGGTCCAAATGTTTGTAGGATCAACACACCCTGATTGATCAGAACATGCGTGTGACTCTTTAATGAAATGGGCTTGGGAAAGATGTGCTAAGATTCCCAAGCTGCTTTTTGAAGTTTCATTGACAACACAAGCTCCAGAATTGGACAATTAGGAACAAGTATGTTGTGGTTAAATTGTGGACAAATGTGTTCCCTTGTAAGCCATTCACCTTGGAGTATATGGAAAACATTGCTCTAATGTTAAATCTCATAAAACAAACCAGATCTGTCACTTACAATAGGACCACATATTTTGATCACAAATTTAAACTCATGATCAGCCACTCATGTCTATACATCCATTGGGAAAAATAAATCATTTCCTTTGGCCCATGAGTATGATGGGAATGAGTTCTACTTCATCAAAATATGTGCAGGATATGATAGTTTTACGCAACATGACAATAGCCTTACATGAGTTGACCACATACTAAATGAGTTGAACACAGCCTTGTATGAGTTAAACACAGCCTACATTAGTTGAACACAGCCTTACATGAGTAGGATACTAGCACTAAGCAAAAAAGCCACAAGACCACCGTGCTTAGCATCATGCTGAAGCCAGATGCATCACTCAGCTTGGGAGGTAGACAGTGAGTGATAATTTAGTATAAGAAGAGATATGATGATTGGGCATGATTTAATAGCATGGAATGGACACAATGAGGCTTTTGACCAAAAGGATATGGGGAAAAGCATGAAAAAATCACTGAATAACATATGGGAAATTGGAGGTGCCAGATCCATGGATCTTGAGATGGAATTGGGATCTTCCTGATAGAAGGGAGAACTGTGAGTAATGAGTAAAAAGAGTCTCAACAGACAACTATCAATAATGTGTTTCATTTCCAACTTGAGGAGACTTGGAATTATCTGGATGAAATTGATTGCTCACCATGCCAATTAAAGGATGGCCAACAGGAGCCACTCAGGATTCAATATTTGGTTGATTGTTGGTGGTGGTAGACTGGGGTGGAATCTTGGTGAGGTTTTTGATAATACAAATACAAATAGGGTCTGTGGACTGATGTGTCAGTTCAGGAAAGATTAATACAGATGGGATATGGAAACCTTACCTTGTCCATACTTCATCCTCTGCATATTCCAAATACTAAGGACATTGGGGACAATTTCTGGCAAGATGTGTAACTCCTGGGTACGGTTTTATATAGTCGCCTGCATTTCTTGGACTCAAGCAGCATTTTGCACATTGATAACAGCTTGTTGATGTGGGGTGTTTTTGACTTGGGGAGGTTCTATCTCCATCATGATGGTTTCAATTGAAATGTAGGTTTCCTTCAAATAGTTAAAGACTTCTTGAGAAGGGTAGAGGTGACAAATTTGGGTCATCTTGGTGATTCAAGTATAATGAGTTATGGAAGTACTTTGTCTGGGGAGTAGTAGCGTGATTGAAAATGCAGCAAGGAGGTCATGTCTTTTATGCTAAATATCAGTGCCAAGAGAAATAGACCCATGCATAATTAGATAATTAGCTCACTCATATCACATTGTGAGGGGAAAAGCATGAGTTGCAAGTAATGAAAATTATGAAAATATTGGTTGGAATCACAGGGGCCTGGCAACATGCATGTAAGTTGCAGTTTGGTTGAGAGTTGACCAGAAACACAATTGAAATGTCAAACCTGGAATATTTTAAAAACACCCCAATTTATCTGAATGACAGTGATGAAGGTCCAAAAATTTTGAGACACAAAGTGTGGCACATCTGACACAGATGTGTCCAAGAATGAAATTTTATGAGCCCAGAGCCTACCTAAGCGCAACCCGCTTACAACAGAGACCAGATGAAGTTGTGAATGCTTACTTGTAAGACCAAAAACTTACCCTGTAAGACTACCCAAGGTCACGGGTTCAATTCCCACTCTGATCATGATTTGTTGGGTCTCATTCCCACTTCCACATCATGTAAACTGTTGCACAGCTTGTCAATCCGACGGAAACCACTCAACTTCTCAAATCACATCATGTAGGCTGTACCACCAGCCAAAACCCCTCATGTATTCTTCCATCTTGGCCAAATTCCCTCATTTAAGGCTGTACAACCAGCCAAAATCCCTCATCCTGGCTCCCCTGGAGCCAAAATACCTCATTGTTGTCTATATAAGGAGGCCCTTCCTCCCAGTTATAATTTCTCCCCAGCAGACTTCCTGCATTCATTTCCCCACATAACAGGCAAATCACTGCTCACTCCATAATATCATTTCTTCCCCAATATTTTGGTTTTACAATTATAACAACCCTTACATACAATTATTACCACATCTTTACACATAAACAACAACCCGTTTTTTGCACCTGTCCACCTGTTGAACAACAGAGTATCTTTTGATACACTCCACTATCACTAATTAAAAGCTGCCAATCTAATATTGGTGGTCTTGTTTAGTGTAGTACATAGGAAAGGCAGAGGTTACCTCACACATCCCTTTCCGAACTCAGCAAAAGGTTCTCACAAACACTTTTGAGCATAACATTGTCTTGAGATTTACTAGAGAGGGGGTTGATGTGAGATTCTGATGTCTCCTCAGATGTTGCCGCCAAAAGAAGGAGGGTTGATGTGGCTTTGACTTTCAGACATGTTATCAAGGTGTTTGTTGAAGTTGAGTGATGAATTAAAAAAGACAAAGGGTTTAACGTGAAAAACGGAGACGGTATCCATAAACAGAATCAAGAAAGGATTCTTTTGATGGTTTTCAAGAAGAAATTGGTTGAGAACCGGCTGAGTTAATTGGAGAGATAGTTTGAGTCCTACTAGCAATTGAGAAATGATTAACCAACTAATGGAGGTGTGTCAAAAAAAAAGAGATGGTGGCTTTCAAGAAGGTCAAGAAATAATATTTTTGAAGGTTTTCTTGAAGAAATTGGTCAAGAAACAGCTGAGTTATTCAGAGTTGGGGTTTGAAGTACTCCTACTAATGATCAAGCAATGATTTAAAAACTACAAGAGGTCTGTCAGAAAAAAAAAGAGACTTCGGTGGTGAAGAAAATCAATAGATAAGATTATTAGTGTTTTGATTGAATAAAATGGTTGAGAAACGGCTGAGTTATTCATAGTTGAAGTTTAAGATCTACTAGAGTTCCAGCAGTGATTTTAAAAAGGACAAGAGGTCCAGCGGCAAAAACGGAGACAGTGGCGGTCAAGAGGATCACGAAAGAAGATGATTGATGGTTTTCTTGAAGAAATTGGTTCATCATTGAAAGATTTATTCAGAGTTGAAGTTTCAGTCCTACTAGTGTTCCAGCAATGAATTTAAAAAACAAAAAAAGAGGTTCAGCAGCAAAAATGAAGACAGTGGCAGTGAAGATGATTGATGATTTGCTTGAGGAATGGCTGAGTTATTCAGAGTTGAAGTTTGAGTCAATTTTGAGTTCCAGCATTGATTAAAAAAAACAAGAGGTCCAGAGGCAATAACGGAGACAATGGTGGTGAAGAGGATCAAGAAACAAGATGATTGATGGTTTTCTTGGAGAATTTGGTTGAGAAAAACCTGAGTTATTCAGAGTTGAAGTTTGACGCCTAACAATGAATTTAAAAAAAAAACAAGGGATGGATCAGCAAATTTGAAGACCGTGGTGCTGAATCGGATAAAAAAGCAATATTTTTGGTATTTTTTTGTGAATTTTGGTTGAGAAAAGGCCAAGTTGTGATTTTTTGAATTTTAGAGTGTACCTGAAAGTTGGGAATGAACCAGAGGTGAATCAAGAAAAATCCAAGTCCGTGGCGTCAAAGAGGAGAAAAAAAGAATAATTCTGGTATTTTTTTTTGTTGATTTTGGTTGAGTCTTGACTGAGTTGTGGTGTGTTGAAGGTTTAGAGGGGGGGTGAAGTCTATTTTTGATTGTGGTGAGTGGTTTTCTTTTTTGGTGCCTGCAGGAAAATTTTCAAACTTCATGCAGGCACTTGTGGTACGCACGCGCCCCCTGGAGGTGAAATTATGCATAAATTATGCATAATCATAGAAACCCGCGTCCAAACGCAGAATCGGCATCTGCTGCGCGCAGCAGATACCGTGTCTAAAAGCGGAAAAACCACGTTTTTTTATCAAGGCCCTAAAAAAATCTGGAAAAATCTAAAAAATCTAGAAAAATCAAAAAATCTAAGAAATTTGGAACAATCTAAAAAATTTAGAAAAATCTAAAAACTCTGAAAAATCTTGAATTTTTTTTACAGGATTTCCCTAAAATTTACAACATTTCCCATCTGGGAAATCATGTCAGGGATGATGTGAAATCTGGAGTTGGAATCTGGGCAGATTGGTAACCACCAAGTGGTCCGTATTTGCTTGGGGAATTCAATTTTGCAAGGAATATTGAGCTGAGGGGGAAGGGAATGTAGCCAGCAGGTATATTAAAATTAGGTATGTGAACTGCGACTCCATGCTTATGTGGTGTCAAGCAAGCCCAGTAAGTCTTTGGGTTTTGAAAAAGTTGTCCTAAAATTTCTTTTTTTGAATTTGAGAGTGAGCAGTAGACTACTCCAAGGCAAACAAAAGGATTCTCCATGATTTCAGAACAGATGGAAAATCCTATCTAATTTATTAGGTTGATTTATTGAAGCTCTTGTCCGATTACTGGCAATCGGACATGAGCAAGTTGAAACTGTTGATCAACTTGCCCATGTCCGATTGCATGCAATCAGACACGGGCAGGTTCATGGACAGTTTCAACTTGCCTGTGTCCAATTGCATGCAATCGGACACGGGCCAGTTGAAACTATTGATCATCCTGCTTGTGTTCAATTGCATGCAATCAGACATGAGCAGGTTGAAACTGTCAATCAACCTGCCCGTGTCCAATTGCATGCAATCGGACGGGGGCAAGTTGAAACTGTTGATCATCCCGCTTGTGTCCGATTGCATGCAATTGGACACAAGCAAGTTGAAACTTTCAATCGACCTGCTTGTGTCCGATTGCATGCAATTGGAAACGGGCAAGTTGATTGACAGTCTCAACCTTCCCGTGTCTGATTGATTGCATGACGGGCAAGTTGAAACTGACAATCAACTTGCCCGTGTCCAATTGCATTAACCAGCATGTTGACGTGAACCAAGCCAACCATCTTGTTTCTGTTTTGTGTTTGATGGGATCTTGAGTCCAAAAAACGAGCTGAAAGACAAGCCAAACTAAACTGCCATAAGTATTTTGTTAAATGTATGAATGCGTAGTATGTGTGCACGGATAAAAAGCTTTTTTGAAAAAATAAATTGAAGTATTTGAATATTACAATAATGATAAGGATGATACAGTTGATCATACAAAGAAGGCAGAAAGACATTGAAATTCAATCTCAAGTAAAGTAAGCACAAACAAAAAAACAAAAAACTAATAAGAGTTCATCAAGATATCAAGAATCCAAGGATTCTTCTGTTCTAATTGGGGCAAGAAAGACAGCTGAAGAGAGTGTTGGAATAAACATAACAAAAGCAAATTGAGAAATATCTTCTTTATTGGAATGGGGTGCATTGTAAAAATGTTCAGTGGTAAAAACTAAGTGGGGGAGCAATCAGATTCAGTTTTTTCATCGTGAAATTCAAGAGAAGAAAAAGAAGGAATGTTATGTTTCTTCATCAAGTCTTGGTTTTCTTCAAATGGGGTATTAGCCATTTGTTTTAAATGATATCCAAGGATATCCGCAATTTTATGGTATTTGGTGAAATGTTCATGGAATTCTTCCATGTCTTCGGTTTTGAATTTCTTGATATATCTACCAACAATCTGATCACCATCAGATGACTTCCTCCACCCAATTACCCACATCAATTCTCCCCAAGAACGGCTATTGACGGCAACAGGAGAGATGAACTTCTTTGAGTGATGGAGAAATGTGGTGAAAAGGTTCAGATCTGCCTTATCTTGCTCAGACATATCTTTGAACTTGATGAAATTGATCAAAGCAATAACCAATTCCTTATCCAATGGATCTTGGACAATGTTGCGGCCAGTCTTGAAAAGATGGAATGTTTCGACTTGATTGTAGGCTGATTTGATCTCTTCAGGAGTAGGTGGGCGAGTTGGTTTCTTGTGGCAATCAACTGGGATGGTTGGATAGAGGTCAAGTTCTTCATATTTGACTCGCCTCCAATTGACAAAGTGGGTGGTATCACTGGGGTTGAGAGTTTGTTTGAGAATCTGGTCTCGAGTTTCCTGTTTTTTTTTGGCCTTGCACCATTTCTTTGCCGCTTTCCTACTAGCATTATTATTACTATCAAAAATAAACAAGTCCCAAGGGTTTGAATCATTCCATCATTTAGTAAATAGCCAGTAGGAGCAGAAGGAAACAGGAAGAGTAAGAAGAAACAAAAAAAAACACAAGATCAACAACCTGCAGAACAGTAATACATAATTGAAATCATACCGCTTGTTTTTGCCCATCCTGTTTGTAATCTGCCGTGGTCAGTCAATCAAGCGTGCGTGCGTGTAGCTGAATCAATGATGGGGGGGAGGGTAGCTGAGCAAGGTAACATCAGGCAGGGTAGCTTGCATTGGTTGAACGATGAAGCGTGTGTGAGGGTAGCTAGGCTTTTGTCACAATAATGGGGAGGGTAGCTGAAGGTTGTCCTTCAGACAAAGTGTGCGTGAGGGTAGCTAGACTTTTGTCAAAAAAACAGTAGGGTAGCTTTCAGTAATCAGTCATGTGTGGGTGTGTGTGAGGGTAGCTTACACGTTTTCAGAATGCAAATAGGGTAGCTTTTGATGATTGATTAATCAATCAATAGATTGATTAATCGATCTGAGGATGATAGGGTATCTTATCTTGATTGATTAATCAATCTTGATCAATTAAGATTGATTAATTGATCTAAAGATAAAGATTGATTAATCAATCTTGATCAATCAAGATCAATTAATCAATCTAAAGATAGACAATTGATCTAACAATTGATTAATCAATTGTTAGATTGATAATCAATCTAAAGATAGATAATTGATCTAACAATTGTTTAATCAATTGTTAGATTGATAATCAATCTAAAGATAGATAATTGATCTAACAATTGATTAATCAATTGTTAGATTGATAATCAATCTAAAGATAGATAATTGATCTAACAATTGATTAATCAATTGTTAGATTGATAATCAATCTAACAATCGATTAATCAATTTTTAGATTGATAATAAAATTGATAATCAATCTAGTGATTGATTGGAGGGTAGGGGGGGTGGATGGAGGGTAGTGGGGGTGGATGGAGGGTAGGGGGGGGGGTGGACCAAGGGTGGATGGAGGGTAGGGGGGGGGGGGATGGAGTGTAGCAGAGGGAAGAAGAACTCACCAGAGACCAGGGGATCCACACAGACACAACGACACAACGGTTTCAGAATCCAAACAATGTATGATGAGGGTACCTGGGAGGGAGGGAGAGAGAAGAATGTCAGTTTAAGTAGCCAGATGAAGGGAATGGTACTGACCTAGAGTGTTGAGATGAGAGTGATGACTGTTTGAATGAGTTTGAGATGAGTAATGAGATGAGTACGGTGAGTGTTGAGTGTTTGAGTGCGAAGTGGTGGAAGAAAAATTTCATCAATTAACCAAAAAAAAAAAAAATCAGCAAAGGGGGGCTCAAATTTCAGTTAGAGATGGCAATGGGTACCCGTTTGCGGGTACCCGGTACCCGTTTGCAGGTACCTGTTCTTCGGAGCGGGTACCCGCCCGCGGGTGCTGGGTGCGGGTGCGGGTGTTGAGTTTTGGGACAAGAAACGGCAGGTACCCGGGTACCCGCCTTGACACCCGCCCTGACACCCGCCCTGGGAATACAGTTTTGGGCTTTTTGGGCTGCACAAAGGTGTCAGCAAACTATGTAGGACACCATTTGGTGTCCTACATGGGCCTGTTTAGGCCAGAGGGAACCCTCCAGCCTTCAAGATGATAGATCAGAGAGAAGATAAAGTGCAAATTAGTGATAGGATATTTTGTTCTTCTTTATTTCTTTATTTTTATTTTCTTACTCATATATCTAGTGAATATCAATCATACATTTGGTAAGTCATGCAGAAATTCAAGGGTGAGATTTCTGGGTATATTTGCCTGCAAAAATGTGCCAGGTACCCGCAGGTACCCGGTGCAGGTACCCGGGTACCCGCCCCTGGCGGCCCTAGCAGGTGCGGGTGCGGGTGCGGGTGTCAAAAATATTGGATTTTTGAGGCAGGTACCCGCACCCGCTACAGGTACCCGGGTATCGAGCGCCATCTCTAATTTCAGTGGCCCCCCGAGAAAAAAAAAATCAAGATAAATTGAGGGATCTGGATGAAGGCCCCCCAATCATGCATTACTGTCAGGGTAGCGCTAGTCATGTGGTCTGGGAGGAGCCTAAGGAGTACTCCAAGACCACATGCCAGTGCAATCCTTTTGTGTCCCGGGCTCAATTCCCACTGAGCATATTAATTTTTCTGAGTGGTCAGTTACACTATGCTACATGTGTAGTGTAACTTCTACTGTAGCGTAACATAACTACATGTGTAGTGTAGCATAGTGTAGCTGGACTTATTATGAGTTACGCTAAATGTTAGCTTGATTTCAGTTACACTACTATTTAGCGGAAATTTTTTTAGTGTAAAAAAAGTTACACTGTTGGTTAGTTTAGTGGAGATTATTTGACACTAACACTACAGAAAATTTGAGAGAAAAAAATCACGCTACGCTGGCTGTTATCTCAGTGGTGTTCAGCGGGAGCTAACGCTACAGATTTTCCAGAGAAAAAAAAAGCCACTACACTAACAGTTAGTGGCCAAATAGCGTAGCGTAGCATAGTGGCCCACCGTTGGTTGTGGCTTGAGAATGTTTGGGCGGCACAATGGGCAAAGAAATAAATAAACGCGGATCAATTTGATTTCTTGAAAAAATTTCACTGGCGCCAATGCTAACAACAAACAACTCTCCACTGCTCAGGATAGGCACATCCTTCATTCCTGAGCACCTCCATTTTATGACGAATCCACCCTACTACTGTCAGCCTGAGTGATGCCAAGAGCTGGTCTCTTCTAGCTACACCAGGTGCAAACTAAGAAAATGGTATGTACAAGTGTGGGTAACACTTGGGAAGGGGAGTTTTTAATATTAAGAAAAGAGGAAATAAAAACTGTTAAGTTTCTATAAAGGGAGGGGCCTGAGTTATAGGGTTTTTTATGGTGCCCTCCAATGAATCAGGACCTGTTAAACAGGGTTATTTTTGATGTACCTGATGATCTGGTCCTTTGTGTAAAGGAGTATGCCCAGACAAAATGCCTACACTGAAGTATCAAGGAATATTACCTACTAGTGCTATTTGCAGCCAAGGGACTCAGTGGTGAAACTGGTCTGGAGCGCTCAGAAAACTGCGTAACAGGTGTTGCAAGAGTGCTGGGGAACCAGTTGATCTTTGGGGCTGGTGATATCCAAGACAGAAACAGCAGGAACTGGGCCCAAAAAACAGGTGATACACTGGTTGTTGGAGCTGGTTATTGCTCGTACGTGGTAATGGAAGATGCGGATTCAGAGTTTGGGGGCAAGAAGGGCTCCCTTATATGCTCATTCTGGGCCCCTTGGAGGCACACTCAGAACTCTGTTTAGCTGGCGCAAGCCTCCTACTCGGCATTGGTGACCTGTAGCACTGCCTAGACACCTGTAGTCCTTGGTTACAGGTGTCAGAGGGCCGAAGTGAGGCTTGTAACACACACTAGGTTGCGCTGTGACAAACCTGCAGCCATGGTTTGGTCACTGAGACCCTTTAATGATCAGTGGGCTGGTCTTAACCAGGCGTAGTTAGCCAAATTGCGCCAAAAAGGGCCACAAATGGCTTTTGACCAGCCAGTTACAGTTGTTGTGTGTGACAATGTAATTAAGGTTTCAATGATGGCAACCTTATTTGTGGATTTTTCCCAAACTGCATGAACCTTAATTACATGTGTAGACCTGTCACAACATGTAGTATGATGTAACTGGGAGGGTTTCTAGCAAAATGAACAAGTGTCACTCAGAGTACACAGAAGTACATGAAGGAGTAATAATTAAGGGGTACCTTTGGTGAGGTACCCTAGGTTATTTTGCATTAAAATTAAGAATCTGAAATAATATTCTAGCTTTTGCTTAAGTTTTAGAAGTTATTTGTAGATTCATGTTAAAATGTTTATTTATAGGGTCTTAGCTAATTGACTCCCAGAAAGTGGAGGATCGACTCCCAAACCCCGAAACCCCCGGAATTTCCACCGAAATCCGCGAGGAATGGGAGTCGATCCCCCAAACCCGTCAGAGGGTTTGGGAGTCGACAGACCAATAATTTTAATAAAAAAAAATACAAAATAAGAGCCAACCCCCGAAGGAGTTGGGGGTCGATGCACCAAAACCCACTGGGTTTTGGGTGTCGCTTACCAAATAGAGCCTGCGACGGCCGGGACAATCCTCCCGGCCGCTGATGGCATACCCTCAGCGGCCGGCCGAGAGAAACACTCTCGGCCGCTGAGAGTGTACATGGCCGAGAGCTCTCATCGGCCGAGAGACACACTCTCGGCCGCTGAGAGTGTACACTCTCATTGGCCGGGAGAAACACGGCCGCTGAGAGTGTACACCGGCCGAGAGAGAAGAAGAAGAAGCGCAAAGATATAGGTCCGGAAATACGATGCTATCCACCGTCAAGTTCCTCAGAAGAAAGATCCCATACCCATTTGAATTTCGCGCTCCCAGCTGTCAACCATCGTCCTTTCGCTCCTATTCCAGCTCCGCATCTTGCAGTCACTCCACTCAAAACAGTTCGGCCGGCTCTTCCAATTCACGATCAACCATCTCTTTTTCAAACCAGTCTTACGCCAATTGAATCCATAAACCCCCTTCGACGTACGGTCGATGCGACCCTCGATTCGGCTGCTGAGAATGATGAGAAACAACACACTACTTGCATGTTTGTACATGGCCAAGAGCTCTCATCGGCCGAGAGACACACTCTCGGCCGCTGAGAGTGTACACTCTCATTGGCCGGGAGAAACACTCTCGGCTGATGAGAGTGTACAACTCTCAACGACCAAGAGAAACTGAGGGTTGTACACTCTTGGTAGTTGAGGGTGTACACCGTCAATGACCGAGAGAAACACCTTGGCCACTGAGAGTGTACACTCTCAACGGCCAAGAGAAACACTCTTGGTTGTTGAGGGTGTACACTCTCATCAGCCAAAAGTGTTTCTCCCGGCCAACGAGAGTGTACACTCTCATCGGCCGAGAGTGTGTCTCTCGGCTAATGAGAGTGTACACTCTCAGCGGCCGAGAGTGTGTCTCTCGGCTAATGAGAGTGTACACTCTCAGCGGCCGAGAGTGTGTCTCTCGGCCGATGAGAGTGTACACTCTCAGCAGCTGAGAGTGTTTCTCTCGGCCGCTGAGGGTGTGCCATCAGCGGCCGGGAGGAATCCTCCCGGCCGTCGCAGGCTCTATTTGGTAAGCGACACCCAAAACCCAGTGGGTTTTGGGGCATCGACCCCCAACTCCTTCAGGGGTTGGCTCTTTTTTTGTATTTTTTTTATTAAAATTATTGGTCCGTCGACTCCCAAACCCTCTGACGGGTTTGGGGGATCAACTCCCATTCCTCGGGGATTTCGGTGGAAATTCCGGGGGTTTTGGGGTTTGGGAGTCGATCCTCCACTTTCTGGGAGTCGATTAGCTAAGACCCTATTTATAAATGTTTTTGGTTTATTTTTATGTTTTCTTTCATAACTAGTGAAACTTAATGTAATGAGTGATGATGTCTCTATTATAGTGATTCCACTTATTTAAATATTAATGTTTTTATATGTACATATGTAATAATGTCTCTATATTATGTACATATAAAATAGTCATTAATTACATATGCTATGGGGGTAGTATATGTAATAATGTCTCTAAATATTTAATATGCTTATGGTCAGGTTGTCTCTGAATAGTAGCAGGCTGACAACTACGTCCAGCCTTCAACTGCTTGACCTCCCCTTTGAGTTTGGCAATCCGGGATGTTTCCTTTCCTTTCCCCTTTGGGCCACGGTCAGGGCATTCCCTCAAGATGTGTCCTTGGTTACCGCATTGGAAGCACTGACCCGCTTGCATCATCCTGGTCTTCTCCGCGTCCAAGAGGCGGCCTCGCATGACTGATAAGTCGCCTTGGGGTCCGGGGCCGGAGTTGCTTCCGGGGGGCCATGCTGTTGAGTTTGTTGTCAATCTTCAGGGCTAGGTTGGCGGCTTCAGCCAGTTCGGGGAATTCAGTTTGAGCCATCAACAACATGAGGCAAATTTGGGACTTCAGGCCGTGCCTGTACTGGCTGACAAGGGTTGCAGTCTCCCAACCGGTGTTGTGGGTGTGCAAGTTGAACTGGTGGGTGTAGTGAGACACCGACTTGGTCTGCTTGAGCGCTTGGAAGGCTGCTTCTGCCTTGGTCTTCTTCTCAATGTTGCCGTACATGGTGGTGAACTGAGTGTCAAAGTTGTCCTTATTGATAGTCTCAGTCTTACTCAACACCTTCTTCATCCATGGTGAGGCCCAGGAGCTGGCCGGGCCAGTCATGTAGGACAATAAAAAAAACTATAATGGTGCAGTCAGTGCCAAAGAGGTGTTGTTTGGCCCAGACATAGAGGTTTACCTGGTTTATGTAAACCTCTGCAAGTGCCATAAAACTTGTTGGGGGCACCAATCTTGGCACCTGAGGACAGTATAAATCTGACCATGTAGCCTAGCCCGGCCGCACGTCTGAGGTGGGCTAGAGGGCCATCTTCCCTACAACTCCCCAGCCACTCCAGCCTCTCGACCTTTGCCCCCCCCCCCCGCCTTTTTTTTACCAAGTCCCTCAATCCCCCTTTTCTTCCGCCAAGTCCCATCATCTTGCATCGTCCAAGTCCCTCATCCAACACCACACCTCACATCTTCGGACTTCCACCAATCTCATTTTTTGTTCAGTCAAACCCGTGTACACCTTCCATCTTGACACTTGACCAAGCCCAGTTGACTTTTAGCCTTGGCTGAGGTAAGAATGCTTTGACCTGTTCCCTTTCAGGTCTTTGTTTGGCCGATTGTTCTTAATGAAACATCGTGCTGCAACATATGCTCTCTTTTTCCTTGTTTTCTTTACTTGTTATTTATTTATTTTTTTGTGGTTCATTGGTTGTTATTTGTAATGCAAAGCAAAAAATAGTATTTATGTCTGCTATGATATTTTAGATCAAGTGGAGAGGCATGAAAAACAATCCATACAAGACTGAAGTACAGAACAAATTGCAAGTGGAAATGAGAAATTTTCAGCAAGAAAAAAGACTTTTTTTATTCGAGATCGGTCTCCCATCCTTGACCAGCTTCTCCTGTCATATCATCTACTACATCATCTTCAGCCTCCTCTCCATCCTCAGCATCATCGAGAAACTGCTGTTCTTGCCATGCCTCCTCCATCTCGTCAGCATCAAGCTGTGCTTCGTTAGAATTGGATCCCGTTGGAACCAAATTTGTTGCAAGCTGTCCGACCAGATCAAACCAAGGATGAGAGTTTTCTATCAACCGAGTCTTGCTCCAAAGCCACTCAATGTCCTTGGCCCAAGATCGCATGATATCTTGAAGGTCAGCGAGTTGCCGATACAGTTCAAACATCAGGACTTGCTGGCCTGTTGTTGTGTTCAGAGTCCCTACGCGAGTCGTGACCACTTCCACATTGGAGTTGGGGGGTAGGTTACCTAGTATAATAAGATCATCAGCCAAAATTGAACAACTGAATCAAAAATCTGACTCACTTATTTTGCTGGCAAGGTTATCCAGCTTGTTATGTAGCTCAACTGCCCAAGCCATTGCCCGACCCAATTCTTGGGCGATTAGGTCCAGTTCCTCCTCTGCCCAATCCATCATAAGTGACGCCCTTATTCCTTCGCAAACCTCCAAAGAAATTGCCCAGGGTCCTTGTGAGTGATAGTAATGGGCTTCGTTCCAAAACGGGTCGTCTAGGCTTGTGGCTTCAAAGATATCCCATGTTAAAGCATGGTAATTTGGATCTTCCAGCATGCTGGGATCAAATTTTTTCAGAAAAGCTTCATTCCTATTGTTGTATTGAGTTATCAACCAGTTTACCGCTGCTTTCCAACTCTTAATTGAATCAAATATCTTTTCCTTCAACTTAATGCCAACCCGCCTTCCCCGTGTTCGTGATTCTGTGATTGGCTGTCGGACACCCATGATTTTGACGGCTTTAGCATAAAGTGCACGCTTTGCACTCCACACAAGAAGTTTCATCTTTTCTTTTTGAACTGAAACAATGGGCCCAATTGAGATATGACTATGCTTGAATGTTGAAATGAAATACTATAAGACTTACCATCAGTGTCTGATCCACCGTATAGCATCCCCAACTGCTCAGAAAGTTTCCTTTGGGATGCCTCGGCTTCTTCAATGTCATTGACAAGGCGCTGCAAAGCATTTTGGCTGGTATCCCACAAACCATTATGTACAATGTCACTAAGTACAATTAATCAATGATAAGCTATATGATATATGATATGATATACGTAATTTGAAGTTGTTTGAACTTACTTACCGCAATCTTTTCAGCGACTCTTCTTTTTCCAAGAGCTTTGTGAGCTTTGTCCGGCAGTCTGTATCTTCAGCTGTTACTTGATTCAGGTGGTTCACTTGGTTATTCCACTGTGTCTTGAAGAAATCTCGGGTGTAATTTTGATGATTGTCGGCGAAGATGTTTGGTTGATGAAGTAAACGAGCAAGAGTTTCTTTGGAAGCGCGCCTAGCTAACTGTGCTGCACCATACTTCTTCCGTAACCACAAAACTGAAATGGTAGCTTGTCAAAAAAAAAAAAAAAGCAACAACAGGAAAACTTACTCAGTGTATATAGCCCCTCAGTGTTGTGTGACTGACAGTGATGCGAAAGAGAAGCTAGGCAATGATTTTGAGAGGAGTACCGCAATGTTCTTACCAGAGGAGATAGAGATGACCAGAGTCGTTCTAAACCCTCGCCATCAGATAAACCCCACCCAATGTTGAATCGCGGATTATACTTGACCTGACACTTCCATTCATGGGCATATGCATGAAAGATAGAAGTTCCAAATTTAATCCTTTCTTTTTTTTTCTGGGAATGCAAAGAAATCTTGCTACTCACACAATCCAAGAGTATGAATGTCAGATTGAATCAACTGAAAATTGAACGGAAGAAAGACAAAAAAAAAGATCACCAGCTGGAGGAACTTCTGTAGCGAGCAGCCAATGTCGTAGAGCACACCTATGGGTCAAGTTGAGTTGATTACCTCAAATAGTTGCTTCAAAATAGCAACTGGAAGAGATCGCTGTTCACCAGTGCAATGGATATTTGCCAGCAAGATTACCTGATCATGGCGGCAACAACAGCCCATGAGACCGGTATCATCACAACCCTTCCAAGCGGATTCACTTTGTTGATCGTTTGCTGCTTTGTGGGAATCTGAACATGGATCAGACTGATATGTAGTATCAGTCTTGGTGCATTTTGTAGGGATGAAAATCCAAGAAATACTTTACCACTTCAGGTTTACCAATCTTGTTAATTTTGTCACGCATTCCCTCAATAGCTTCTTGTTCCAAAAAGATAGGACGGACAACTAATGGGACCCCTGGAGTGCCAGCCTTTTGATGATGTCGATGTTCAAAATTTCCATCTAGACACACAATTAAGGAATCCTTTACTGATGATTGTGTAGAGTAGGAATCGTTTGGAGAGGTGGGACCAAAGCAGCCAGGACAAGAGGACCTGGCCATGATCTGTGTTTTTGTAAGCTGGAGAGAACTGTTGATCAATTCATCCGTTTTCAGAAGCATGCGGTGGTATATATCAACTGATGCAGAAAAGCACTTTCTCATTTCTTGTCGCTAAGATGGAAAAGAGTCAAGTATAACAATCAGTTGATAGGAAAAAAATACTATGCATGAGAAGGGCATGCCTTTGTGGATCGATCATTTAAAAGCTTTCCTGATCGTTCTTCAATCCATCAAGTGAGCATTTTGGTGAATGGAAACGTGGCCACGTTGCACCACTGCCAAGCTAGATTTTGAAATTGCAGAAGCCAGACTGAAAAGGCAGTTCTTGGATGAACTGTCGAGCTGGCAATGTAACCAATTGTAAGTAATCTAACGACATCTGGCAGACACTTGCAGAATCTCAGCTTGATTCTTTTCTGAACTGAATTTCACTAAACATCAGCTTTCGTCAAAATTGATTTCTGTCTGAGGAAATGAACATACACATCAAGTCAACCAAATCTATAGTACGGTAGCTAAATTGACTGCACGAGCAAAACTTTTCTTCATATGAGTCGAATGAATTGTCGAGAGTCCAATTTTGAGTCTTCATTTTAAGCCACATGTACACGCCATGGAGTTGAGGGATAATCTCATTCCAGTTTGCTAGCAGCTGTCTCCCGCTCGGAAGAGCATTAAATGTGATGATTCTCTGTTCAAGCAAGGCCGTTGTCTGTGGTGTATCATCTAAAGTTTCCCACTCGTCTGTTGCATCATCTGCATCCCACATACTTGTTTGTGGATATTGTTCATTTGAGTCGACTGGGAGTTGAGGATTATTATTGTTGAATTCTGATTCTTGATCTTGAGACTTGAAGTAGGTTTGAAGGGCTTGAGAAGATGACGGCATTGGTATTTCACCATGGTGTAACTGCTCCAACCGTTGAAGAGACCTGCAATTTTGCTCAGCATTTCTCTCACAAAGGAGACGTTCGGACTTGGTTTCATGTCGGAAAGGATTGATTCGGGTTGTCCTTGGTAGCTTCAGTTGATTTCCTGAGGGGCGACTGGACTGTGTTGCTCGTGGTCTTGATGGCTTGGATGAGGGTCGATTGGACTGGGACGATCTGGTGTGGGTTGATTTTGGAGCCATGGGTCGATTTTGTTAGGCAGAAGAATGAGAAGTGTGATAGAGTTGAGGGTGTGATTATGGAGGAGAAGGGAAAGTAGCAAAGAAGACAAATAGTTGATGGATTCAAACTTAAGATCTGATGGCCTATTCACTAATTCTAGCATCAAAAAATGCACGGGTCGGGCAGGCCCACCAGCCCACAAAAAAATCAGTGGAAAGAAAATATAATCAACTCAGTGAAAATTAAAACATCAGAGATCAGTCACAACACCTGATCAAAATCAAAGCATATATATGATTATTTTGATTTAAAACAAAGGATTCTAAATATTCAAAGGAACAAAATCTTTATTGGCATACAAATGGGTCATATTTTGAGTTTATATTGGACCAAATGGATTGCATAATTTGGATTCATATTTTTTTTTGGATGTTTTTTTTTTTTTTCTTTCCAAAAGGATGGATTATTTGTTCATAATTTTTTGGAACAAATAAAAAATTCTTTTGAATCAAGAAAAAAAAATTGTAAGTGAAATGACCACTGGTTTTGGAATTAGTGTGTATCTGGTAAAGATGTCTATTTGAGGTGGCATATGTTGGTTGGGGTATGTACCACCTGTTTTGATGGTTCAAAAGCATGGATTCATTTTTAAAACTATGTCTGAAAAAAGAATTCATGATTTTGAACCATCAAATCAAGTTGTGCACACCCCAACCAACAACATATTCCACCTCAAATACACATCTTTCCCAGATACACACTAATTCTAATAACCAGTGGCCATTTCACTTACAAACATTCTTTTTTTCTTGATTCCAAGATATAGATTCTTTTTTCATTAAAACATTAAAAAAAATGTTCCATGTTTTGGAACCATCAAATTAGGTGGTGCATACCCAACCACTATATGACATGGAAAATACATCTTTCTTAAACATACACTAATTACAATTACCAGTGCCATTTCACTCCCATGTAATTTTTTTATTGATTCCAAAGCATAGATTCTTTTCTAATAAACATTTTGAACAAAGAATACATGATCTGAAGCCATCCAATTAGTTCTTTTATGCCTTAACCAACATATACAAACACATCTATCTTTCTTAGACTAACACTAATCAATCCCAATAACAAGTGGCCATCTCACTTACATCCAATCTTTTTTCTTTATTCCAAAGGAAGGAGACTTGGTTCATTTTTTTCTTAAAAGACAGTGTGTAAGTCTTTTGGATTAGGTTTTGAATGCCCTAACCAACAACATATACAAAGAATGGATTCTTTGTTCATAAAAACTTAAAATATTCCATCCTCTGAAGCCATCCAATTAGGTATTGTATATCTCAATCAACATATGCCACCTGGAATTCTAAACTTGTTTTAAAATATAATCCATCCTTTTGAACCATGCAAGTAGGTGTTGTACACCCAAATTGACCTCCATAAAGTCATCTCAAGTCATCCAGATTTTAAGAAAAATAAAAATTTTTGTGCATGAAGTGAAGCTGGGGATTATCAAATAATGGAAGATTTGTTTCTGATTATCCAAAAACTGGGAAGGCATATTTCTTCACAAAATTTAATGGAGCTGAAACAAAGTCCAATCTTGGAAAACCCACTTTTGTGAAAAAAGTCAATTAATGATGATTGTTCCAATTACTTACGAAATATTCAAGAAATATTTAAAACAGAGACCAAGATATGAATAATATATTAAATGAATTTTTTGATTCAGTTGGTTTAATAGAAGAGAAGCAACAAATTAATCAAGATTTTGCTAACTTTCTCAACATGTTTTCCATTCTTCTTCATTCCATTCTGTGTAATTTATTTCTTTCATTTGTATGTATATCTCATTGTGTGTAATTATTTCTTTCATTTGTGTGTATATATTATTTTACATCTTTATAAATTCCCTCCCTCTTGAACCTTCCCCTCCAGAAAAACAATATGTGCCACCAAAGCAGGTATGTGTACTGACATTTGTGATTAGTGTAGATGTCAAGGGGCCAGTTAGGTGCCTGGCCCCAACTGCATGATATTTCCCCTGTGTTCAACCCCCCACCTTGACATAATTACAACTTCATGTGTCTGTAAAACTGGTCTGTGTACAGTAAACTAGTCCTGGAACATGATAGAAAGTGCACCCAATCCTGTATTTTGGTGTCGCAAACCCCAATGCAATACAAAGGAACCTCAATTTTTTTTGAAAAACATACATTATGATTTGGAATCATCCAATCAGGTGATGTATACCCCAATCAACATCTATAAGGGTATCCAGATTTTTGAAAAAACTACCTGTGTGGCACATCCTAATCCCCTGACATCTTTACCATTTGTCATGAACTGAGGCTACCAAAGATATTAAGTTTCAACTCTGATCATCTTAAAATTTCAATCCACGTGCCCTGAAAATAAAGAAGCTACAAAGAAATCACCTAATATTAAGTAGAAACACAGAATCTCTAAACAAATATAGGGAAACACCTTATTGCGACATGTGGTAAGAGATACTTCATCATTCCTTCTTGCTCTATGTTGCCTTCTTCCTTCTGTATTTATCTGATATTCTCCCTCATTTCTCTTCACCTCCCAAATAAAATATATTTTCAATGAACAAGATTTAACTTACAGTGTGACCAAAAAAAGGTATTTTTTAATCTGTATTTCAAGTTGTATTTGTAGAGCTTGTTGCAAAAAAAGGAAAAAAAAGTGGAGATTGTTGGGATTTTCAATGAAACAAACTTGTTGAGATTAGATAGTACTCAAACAGACAAATCACCATCTCCATTCATCCCCTCTGTATTAGAATTTACATTGACATTAGGTTCGGATTTCAAGTCTTTGTCTGGACTTTCATCAAGGTTGCTCAGTTCAGCATCGTCACCTTTGTATTTAAGTGAAATCCATTCTTTGGTAAGTGCCTGCAGGATCCTTCGTGAGGGGATTAATAATAGTTGGTTGACCGGTTGGCAGACCTCTCTGGCGTGAAAGTGGCTTGGATTTCTCTTGACCTTCATCTGTATGTTGGCTTCTCGTAATTTGCTAGCTGCATTTTTTCCTGGCCATGCATGAAAGTGTTTCCCACCGGCAGCATCTACACAAGGGAGGCGGTGAATTCAAGCTTTTTTGGGAGAAACAAGAAAGTTGTAGACATTGAACTTACTTAGGAGGTCCAACATGCAACTACTGATTTCCTTTTTGTTTTTCTTAAGGGAACCTATTTTTAAGCAATCTGGTCAGAGAGTCTGATTCACTACAATTTGTTATTTACACTAGCTCACCTTGCAAGACAAAACTTAACATAATCTTCCTTTTTACCTGCACCCCCCAAGTGTTCACCACCTTTGTTGTCTTGAGATATAGGTTGATTTTGATCAATCTCTTCTGTAGCAAAACCTTTTGAGCTAGTTAAAGCTCCATTTAAAATTTCTTCTTGGACAGCCATCCCAGCTGCATACGTATGAAATTTTCTCAATGGATCACCACCATCAATTAGAATTTGGAGGAAATTGTGTCCTAGCTGAGTACCACCTTGAATGAAAAGATCCCCAGACGAGCGACCCAAAGCAAGAACTAAGATGCCTTGGACTTTGTGGCAGGCAGAAATTTCATTTAACTGTGGTTTTGAGGTGAAACCAATCAAACGTTAGTCAACATCCAAACTTGCACAGAAGGGAAGAAAAAACTCACTTGGTCGATTGTATCTTTGGCCCACCTCCAAACAAATGCAATATCTTTCTTGTTAGATCCCAGATTCAGCGCTTGGGTTTTAACTACGCCCCTTCGTGCGTTTTTGATTGTACCATTGACAACTACAACTGGCGTATCACCCCGTATACTCTTGATGTAGCTGGGATCTTTGTACTTGGCTTTAGTCTCGCTGTCAATCGTATACCACACTTGTCCGACGTCTTTGCATCTCTGTTTAAGGGGAATACTCTCTGGAGATTGCTTTTCATCAGATCAAATCTAGTGAAACAGTAGAAAGAATAAAAATCAACCTACTTTGAGCAAAAATTGCCCTTGCCTTCGGATCAAAACGGCAGAAGTTGTTGTAACTAGTTGGTCCACGCATTTGATTAATCTGGCCAAGATATGTATAAAAAAATGCCGCGTGTATTTGATTTTTGATTGCAAGAATGTGGAGCTGATGTTGAAATTCATAGTACATGTCGTCGAGCTCGGCCTTGAGATATGCCGGGAGTCGTTTAATCTTTGCGTGAAGGGCTTCTTGTTCAGGTAATTCATCAAGTTCCATTCCTACAATCTCTTCCATATCCTCTTATGGCAAAGTTTCAAGGCGTGCATCTTCATTGACGTTAGCTGAAAACAATTCCTGGATGTGTTCATCACTATGAGCGGTCCCATTCTGCTTGCTAGAAGTCAAATGTTCCAATTCTTGACGAGGAGCGGTTGTGTCTTCAATGATAGGGTTGCCGTTCTGCTGTTGATTGTTGGTGGTCAAATCAGACTGAGAGTTTCCATTGTCAACCCGGGGAACTATGAAGCCATCGGAGTCAACAATATAGGTCTGAGTGTTGATATTAGGATTGGCAAGAAGACTTGGGTTGAATAATGCTGGATCGTAATTCATGTTTGATGGAGAGAGTTATGTGTTGGATGATACAAGATTGTTGAGGGAATGGGTGAGTAAAGGATGGTTGAAATCAAACGGTGTAGGTTGGACAGCAGAGGTGAGTCACAAGATGATGGGACTTGGCGGAAAAAAAGGGGGATTGAGGGACTTGGTAAAAAAAAGGCGGGGGGGCCAAAGGTCAAGAGGCTGGGGTGGCTGGGGAGTTGTAGGGAAGATGGCCCTCTAGCCCACCTCAGACGTGCAGCCGGGCTAGGCTACATGGTCAGATTTATACTGTCCTCAGGTGAATCTTGGGGCCTTTGACCGGCACAGCTGGGGCTTGCGGTGAGTTGTTGGTGGTCTTCATGGATGTTTCCAGTTGTGCCTCCTTCTTGGCCAATTGCACCTCCGTCTCCTTCCGGACCTTGCACTCTTCTTTGACCAAGGACAAGATTTTGGCCAGTTGCGCCTGGACCTTGGCAAGCTTGGCATCCTTCGGGTCTGTGTCCATAGCAAAACAGTACGAGGCGGCTCACAGAGTGGCAGGTAATGCTTTGACGGTTTGTAGTGACGTCAGAAGGTGAAACTAAAATTGTGGAGGCTTACTTTTGTAATTTTATGCCTTGACAAACGCCTTGTGTGAGCTCTCTTTGGATCTG